TTGGCAACCCAGCATCAGACTGGACACAGTTTGATCTGTACCAAATGTGACCCTTCTCGGGTGGTAAATTTGTCAGAGCAAATCTCTTACATAAAAAGCCAAGGGCTGAAGTCCAGCCTTTCCCATGTCAGTGACTCTGAGCTATGCATTGCTGAAAAACCTCCAGAAGGGCTCTCTGAAAAGGACTGAAACAGAAGATTAAGTCCTTTGAGAGCAGAGAGTGAGGGGCAGCATGGAGAGAATTGCAGAGATAGTTATTTACAGGGAGTAGGTCTGGAGAAACCCTCTCCTTTTGTCCACCCCCTTCCAAACACCATCCTTTAACGTACCATGGCCAATCTTGCTGATGGACTTCTCCTTTGGAATTAGAAAGTTCCCTATGAAAAAAAACAAAACAAAACAAAACGGAACTTACCATTGTTTGCAAAGCAGGAATCATCCCCTGAGCTGGAAACTGGCCCCTATCCCCTCACTCAGCCTTTTCTCATCCCCTCCCTGTGGCAAACTCAGGCCAGGGCTTACCTTTCTTGTCCAAAACACCTTTCTCAAAGAAGAATCTAATCTTGTCTCCACTGGTTAGGAAATAATCCGAGCTACCCTGCCAGGGATAAGAGCCCAGTAAAGAGAGCATCCTTACAAAAACATAAACTAACCTTCGATCAAAGCATTAACACTCACCTGCATCTTTTTTCCCCAACAAGATGCAGCATAAACAAAACATAATGAAAAAATTCACTCAAAAAGGCTTTTACAGCACTACTGATTAGAGCTTTACAAGAACCTCTCACATAGAGGCTGCCCTTGCTTTTCTTTTGCTGTCTGCCTGGAAAATAACCATTTTTCTGTCTGCAGAACAAGTACAAAGTGATCCGTGAGAGCTGCTTGTGGCTACAGGGGGTTGAAAGTCACAAATCCTCCCCTTCGCCCTCTGATAAAACCCCACCAAACACTTGCAGAAAGATGGAGAGCAAAGTCCTCTCGTGGTGTTCAGTTAAAAGAAGGAGTCACGTTTCCCCACAGTGACCCCTGAGCAGCAATTTGCCTTCTCCCTTCCTCCTTCCAGTG